AGCACACGTTTGGTCAAAGGATGGGCTTCACTTGTCTCTTTTGACGAGTTGTAATATGGTGCTACGAATGACGAGACTCACTGACGATGCCGACTTCGATGCTGGCTAAACGTCTGGGAATAAACCACGTCCACGGTCCTACTCTGGAAATAATGATACATAAAATGGACTCTGTAAAGTTGCGTTCATCTAAGTCTTCATACCAATATGACCGAGTTGCGAAAACAATGTCAAACAACTTTTATACAACGAAGGGAGACTTCGACCGTACAAAAGGCCACGCCATCTTGGTCTTTATACCTTCGATAAAATTTATTGTGATTAATTAATAGGGCTCAAGGATAGAGAGGGTGTTGAGGTGCCTGCAAAAAGGAAGCAACTCAACTAGTCTATTCTTGTCTTGGTTTTAATCATAGTCAATTCTCTGTACTTTTAGCCTGCTCTTTCTCTCTCATATGAAGACAAAAGTAGCCTTATCAGCATAACCAGACGTATATCCGACCTTGCCAATCGGAGTGATGGTTTTAACATATATGTAGAAAGTGGGAGATAGTGGCCATTAAACCTTGATGGCCGAGAACAGACGTTACTTTTGCTATTCTAATTACATTGAGCCATCACTGCTGGTTTCGTGCATTTCCGAACTCATACAGGAAGATACAAGGACACACATTAATATGCTTAGAGGTTGACATATGACTGGAACTAGCCGAATCACTTTATATCTTATCAAAGAGGTGAGACATAGAATATATATACAGCTTTATATGAATGTGCCGGTGATTTTTCTTGACTAGTTAGCCTGAATTTGGTTGTAAGGATGTTGGTGAAGATGTTGCTTATATGATAGACGAAAGCTTAGCACGTTTTCACCGGAATCGAAGGAGATTACCTCGGAAACAGCATCAACATGAGTTTTCAACTAAAGCTAATCGACAGCTCGTAAAGAGGAATCCACCTTCGTCTTCTGGTGGAGTCTCTTTACTAAACACTTTCATTTGAAATGTAAGTAAGCTCAACAATTAGTTTACCTTAGTTTCTTCCTCTCAGATCCCTATCCGCCTGCTACTGTTACCATCTACCTTATATGCTCAAAAGGTAACCAATCTTGGCTCGCTTTACTCTCAACTAGAATAACCAGAAAAATCTTGATAACCAATCGATCGATGGCTTTATTTGGAAATCATCTTGGGTGCTAACCATAAAATTTCATTGATTGAGGTCTTTTTAAAACGTGGCAATATTTATATGAGTTTCGTTTTTTTACTCTATCTCAACCACTATTTGCATTTTTTCTCAACAGATTGAATTTGCATGTGTCACCACCACTCCTTACTCTGAGCCTACTTCCTCACCACCATCATCCTTACCTCTTCATCTTTCGCCTTCATATCACGACTGCTCGGCTTCTGATTCGACTCCCACGAAGTCCACTATCTTAGGCCCACAGAATATAACATTATCAAGTGAGTCAGGCAGATTTCGCAGAACTAAATCAAATGGGTCTAATCGAAGCGGGCAGGCTGGTGTCGCTTCCACCTCCCAACAAGACATCTCTTCTCGCAGCCCTGATATTCCGGCTGATTCAGATGAAATAGCTGAAGAGGACCGATTTTTGGCCAAAAAACGACAGCCATTCGACAATAATACTCGTGCTACCTATCGTAGTGGACAGACAGCGAAAAGGTTGCGACAAGCTAGGAAGGTAACTTCACAGGTCCGTCGAGGATCTCTTCGTTCAGGGGAAGCTGGTGGCTGTTATCAGAATGAAGATGATGAAAACGATAATGGTCTTCAGCAAGATACAGAAGAGAAGGCTGCAGAGGAGGAAGAAGTGGAGGAAGAGGAAGGCATTTATGACGAAGATTTGATCAGAGATAAGGAGGTTCAGCCATATTCGGATGAGCTTGCGTTGGATACTTCGGATGCCCTGCCACGCCTAACGCGACGACAGCATCGTCTTCTCCTGGGTGACGCTACACCCGATCAAGTCGCCAGCTTTTTGCTTCTGCTCGCTGTACCTCGGTCATCGCCTGGACCTTCCACCATTGCAAACTCCAGTGTCACCAATAACTCCTCTTCCAATTCTCATGCTAATATTGGAGTCAATGCTTCCAGCCCGGCATCAGGCATAGAAGAGCCTCGAAAAACCAAAACGACTGCGTTATCATCGGAGAGTAACAAAATACCACTAACTTCAGTATCTGGAGAGAAGGAGCGGAAGACCCGAGGATTGGGAAGACGAGGTCGAGCTAAGTTAGCAGTTTCGCATGGCTCTAATGACGATTCTAGCCCCTCATCGCCTTTTCTTATGTCTGATTCAGATAGTATAGCTTTCAGTGATGATAACGATGATGAAGAGCAGAAGATTAACGTAGATTCAGTTCCTACCAACAAAGAAGGCGAAGCGAAAGCTGAATCGAAACTCAAGATGGAAAAGAATGAAGAAGTGAGACCAGAAATCTTTCAGACCAAGATAAAACAGCCGGGGAATGAAGAAGTAAATTATGAAGAGGGAAAAGAAAGCAAGGAGGAACAGGAGAATAAAGAAAGTGATGTAGATGGTAAAAATGAGAATTTACCAGTAGACATATTAAATTGTATCAATGTGTCGCATCGCCAGCATATAGTGCAAGACCTCAAAGGAGTTGAGATCATGGCTGATGAGCTTGAAGGGCCTGAAGAAAAATCATCCGGAATTCTTGATGTGTCTTATGAAGACAGTTTTGTGGGGTCTGGCTCTGACTCAAAAAAGTCTTCAGCCTGTCGGCGGGCACGAATGAGACCACAAGATTTATCTTCCGCACAAGGTGATTGCATGGTAGCAGAGGAGCTAGGGAAGCAGCGAAACATTATACAAGCTTATAGTCAAGCCGATGAAGCACCAAGTATGATTATTTACATTAATATTTTATCTTCTATACTTATGTTAATTTCATTTTATTTTACTACATATATTCACCTACTTAACCTTCGACGAAATCTTTCTTTTCGTGTGCATTCGTATGCCTTATTTTTCCTATAGTCTTTTTTTAGTTATTTTCGTTTTAAGTATGTCTTGAGACTTCTAGTTGCTATTTTATAAGCGCTGTATTCATCCTATTTCGTTTACGATAATGAGAGACTAGTAGAGTATGTCCTACGTTTCCATTAAGTTTCACATAACTTTGCCTTTCAAAATGTATTTTCCTCCAAACTGGACTGTAGTTTCGGCCTCGCCTTGGTCTCATCGACATCTCCAAGTAT